GGAGGAGGAGGAGGAGGAGGAGGAGGAGGAGGGAGGAGGAAGATGAGGAGGAAGATGAAGCTGAAGATGAATATGAAGATGAAGACGAAGGAGAAGATGATGACGATGATGATGATGATGATGATGATGATGACGATGATGATGATGATGGTGATGATGATGGTGATGATGATGATGACGATGATGCTGATGATGATGTTGATGATGCTGCTGCTGCTGATGATGATGATGGTGATGCTGATGATGATGATGATGATGATGATGATGATGATGATGATGACGATGATGCTGATGATGATGTTGATGATGCTGCTGCTGCTGCTGATGATGAGGAGGAGGAGGAGGAGGAGGAGGAGGAGGAGGAGGAGCGCGGGGGAGGAGGAGCGCGGGGGAGAACCGGCGGCGCACAGAGGGGGGGAGGATGGGGGGGGGAGGCTTCTTAGGAAGCTGCTCCTTGAGAAGGCGCCGGCCCTACATCCGAAGACAAGGCCCGCCCCGAGCCGCCCCGATACGCAACGCGCAACACGTAGCGCGTTGGCACGGGGCTCAACACGGAGACTGAAAACGTAGGCTCGAGGCAATACATTCGCCACAACGTGGCCCAACACGAGCCGAGCCAACACGCAACGTGTTGACACGGACGTTTTGAACGCGGCACGCGTTGCGTTTCGAAACGGGCGTACCAGGGCAGCTAAGGGCTCGCCTCTTCGAAGAGGCAGGGGTGCTTCTCAGAAGCCCTCACCCCTCCCCCTAAGGAGGAGGAGGAGGAGGAGGAGGAGGAGGAGGAGGAGGAGGAAGATGAGGCGGTGGGAGGAGCAGGAGGAGGAGAAGGAGGAGGAGGAGGAGAGAAGGAGGAGGAGGAGGAGGAGGAGGAGGGGGAGGGTGAGGAGGTGGAGGAGGAGGAGGAGGAGAAAGAGGGATGAGGAGGCCCTACACCTGCAGACAAGGCCCACCTCTTCGAAGAGGCAGGGGTACTTCTAAGAAGCCCTCCCCCCTCCCCCTCACCCTCTCTGCGCGTGGCCGAGGAATAAAGAGGGCGGAGCACGCTCAGAGCGTACGAAGTCCTTGAACGCGTGTGCCAGACGGGCGTGCACAGCAGGAAGACGTGCATCGTTCAACTCAAGCCAGACTCAAACAGCCGGCTGCGTGCAACCGTCGACGCCCGCGCTGGCGTCGCCGCCGCGCCAACGGAGCCCGTCGTGCTCCGCGGGCTTCTCCCTGGGCGCGTCCTGAAAGATGACCCAGAGGCGAAGCCAGCCGTGGCGACTGGGGCCCAGCAATCGAAGAAGAAGAAGAAGCAGCGGCATAAGCATAAACTGTTGGCGCTCCGCGCGGAACTCTTGAATCTGCACTGGACCCCCCCCAGGCGCGCGGAGCGCGCCAGGGGCGGCGCCGGAGGCGCCCCCCCGTGGGGGGGGGGGGCGCCAGGGCGGATCCGAGAAGTCCGCGCGGAGCGCAAAACGTTTCTGTTTATGGCGCTCCTTCTTCTTTCCGTCCGAGGTGGACAAACCTCCCTTTAGTAAACCACCCTTCAGTGAAAACAGCCTGGGACCAAAATCGACGGGCATGGACACGCAAAAATGACGGCCAAGATGCCCTCTCGCGAACCAAAAATGGCCAATTCACTAACCGACGTGACAGGGTACGAGGTCTATCAATCTCCGATTCTTCTCCGAGCCCGGGGCCCGCAGGGAGGCCCAACGCTCCCCAAAGCTGGCGGCGTGGGGTCGGAGGGTGCACGGGCGGGGGGGGGCCTTCCAAGAAGGCGGAGGAGCGACCACGATGAGGTCGGGCATGTCCTCCCAGAGGCGGAGTCTGGAAGAAAAATGAGCACCGTCAAGAAATACACAAAGTATATTCTTCAAAATAGCCAAAACAGATTCAAAAACAGTCAGAACTCGCCGAAACATCGTCCCCCGACGATTTTCTACGTAACTATTTTTGGATATTCCTCCTGTAGAGGGACAGGCCCGACCTAAGACTACCAGGGCACGGGGCCCCTCCGAAGGCTCACCCTGACTTCTGCGGGGCCTGCTCGGAAGCCGCCGGGCCCCTCTGCGAGAGCCCCTGCCTTCGGCGAGCGCCCCGCCCCCGGCCCCGCTTCCCAGAGATCCAACGCATTGGAAAGATCAGGACGGAGGTCGTTCGCAATTTTCTGCCTCTGACGGTTGTGGGCAAAAGCCTCCCTCTATAGCAAACCTCCCTAAGGTGAAAACGGCCCAGGACCGCAACCGACGGACCTGGACCCGCAAACATGACGGCCGCGACGCCCTCTCGCGAACCGAGGACGGCCAATTCGCTTATCGACTTGTCAGGGTAGGAGGTCTATCCTCCGACTCTGGCGGCCCTCGCCCGGCCCCCGGGACCGTCAAGGAACGACGCGGGACGAACAAAATCGGGTCCTGGGGAAGGGGTCGAGACGAGACTTCCGGGGGCCCCGGGGACGATGCGATGCGCTGCGATGCGACCACCGCTGCGGACAGCGTCCCGGCCGGGCCTGCTCAGTGGGCGAGGCCGTGGCCTCGGGAATCTGGCGCGTCTGGACCACGTGCAGTGCGAGACAGACGCGCAAAACATCAAGAGGAAGGACGGAGAGAGGAGGGGACCCTGGGGGCCGCGCATTGACAAAAATCACGACGTCGGATCTCTGAGTTCTTCTTGAAAGGCTGGCCCCCCATCACGCCGCCCCCGCTGCGCGCGCCAGCGGCAGAGGGCAAGAACGAGAGAAGGGCAAGGGGCAGCGGTACCGGTGCGGCAGGACCTGGGACAGAAGAGCATCCTTCAAGAACCTGAAACCCCTCTGCCGGCCAAACTGAACTTCACTTTGCCCCCCCTCGAATGCTCCTCAGGTGCTGAAGAACATTCGAAGGACCCCCCCCCCAGCATGCACAAGAAAAGCATCCAGCGAGCGCGGTGCGGCGGGTTCTTGTCGTGTCGACCCCAGCGTTGGTTTCTGACACCGGGGGGACCGTCCAACTTGGAACGATCGGCCGCTCCCAAAGCGTCCAACTCGTTCCACATCGAACGATCCTGGGTCGCCCGCGGCGTTCAAAGTGGAACGCCGCTGGCGGGGCCGCCGCCAGTCGACACGGCACGAACCTACCGTGCCCTCCCCGAGCCGGCCTCGATCGTAGATCTCGGTCCGACCCTGTGCTTTTCCCCCTCTAGGTCCTTGGCCTGCCCAACGAGAGCGGCGCCCGCTGGGTAGAGCCGGCCTCAGCCCCCCGAGGCCACAGCGCCGCGGCGGCCAGCGGCGCCAAGGCGGCCCACGGCAGCGGCATCCCAAGGCAGCATGGACGGGGCTAGGTTGAACCGTATGAAGTGAGCCGAGATGGCTATACGGACCTCCTCCTCCTCCTCCTCCTCCTCCTCCTCCTCCTCCTCCTCCCCCTGCCCCTCCTCCTCCCTCCTCCTCCTCCTCCTCCTCCTCCTCCTCCTCCTCCTCCTCCTCCTCCTCCTCCTCCTCCTCCCCCCCTCCTCCTGCTACCCATGTTTCCTGCTTCTTGGTGGCATGAGAGCGCTCCGCACGCTGCCGCCTCCCCCAGAACTGGCCGTCCGGCCAGCCCTAGGAGAGCAGAAAGAAATTGGACATAAGTATGGGTAAAGCGGACAGACAGGTAGGAGGTAGGATGGAGGGAATAAGGGGAAGGAATTACAACATCACACATCATATCGTAACGAAGAGATGGGGGAGGCCGCTGGAGATCTGCTGGTGGCGGCAGCAAGACAAGATGTAAAGGTACGCGTGGCGCTTATGGAGCCCGTAAGAGCCCGTCGTGAGGGTCCTCCACCTCCGGGTCCCCTGGCCTCGCGGGGCCAGTGCCCTGGTGGCGCCCTCCTCCCCTTCCTCCTCTTCCTCTTCCTCCGTGGCCATTTTGGCTCAAGCCTTCCTTCGAACCATGCGGGCCCGAGGGGGATGAGAGCCCGCAGCCCCGCCCGAGGTTTGTCGCGCGTGAGGCGCATCTGGCGACCTTTGCGGCAGGCTCCACCCAGGCTGTCGCAGACCGTCTTCAATCAGCAAGTCGCGGCAATGCGACGGCGCCGGGATCTGGAGGAGGCGCGCACGCTGAAGAGGGCGCCGGCATGGTGGCTGCCGTGGTGACCGCGGCGGTGTGCGCTGTCATGGGCGCTGGCGCAGGCCCCCATCGAGGCTACGACTGCAGTGGCGGAGGTCGCAGTGGCGGCAGCCCTTTTCTGATTTCTGGGAGGGCCGTTCGGGAGGGGAAAGGGTATCACGCACGCGCTGCCGCTGGGAACCCGTCAGCGTGTTACTCCTTCGGTTTTGTCCGAAGACCTGGTAGCTCTTCAACAGTACCACGATGATGGGTTCCCCACATCCGCGTGTCAGTAACACTGGTTTGCTCCCCCTGTTCTTCTCGTCCCCCGCTAGGCAATGCCAGGGGAGGTCACCGCTAGGGGGGTCGTCCTCTCCTTATGGAAGTGGACCCGCTGGCCCCCCAGAACCCCCAAGTGCACTTTTTCTCGCGGAGCTCCCCGTCAGAGGTGATAGTGCCTGGGCTCTTTAAAGTGGCTGTACCCACAGCGCCTGACTGTCACAGGTCTCCTGCCTCGCACTTTTATTGCAACATCGGCAGCCTCGTGCGGTTCCTCAAAAAACGCGCGCCTGCACGGATTGAGGGAGGCCGCTCCCTTAAACCGAAATGGGGACGGATGCGCAAGCTTGCTACACACAACTCAGGTCACCAACTGTGCGAGGGGAGGTTCTTCAAGTTGTGCATCTCCTCGCCGAGGTCCTTCTCTTCTGTCTCGTCCTCGATCAGCGAGCTCCTCGTAGTGCCTATCCTGGTGACCGCCAGCCTCGTGGAACTTGCCGCTCGGGGTCACCTGGGCGGCATCGAAGGGCTTGACGCCTTCTGTCTTCCGGCGCCTTGCGCTGCGGAACTTCCCGTCGTGGACCAGCTTCCACCAAGCCCCGCGATGCGGCGCAACCGGAGCTGGCGCGGCTCGTGCCCCTTCGTAAGGCTGTTCGCGAGCTGAACGCCCACGTGCACCCGCGTCAAGCGGTTGCCGTCTCGGGCGCTCTCGCCCTTCATGGTCATCGCCTCGATGTCCACCCTCTTCTCCTTGCCCTTGGGAGTGAACACCACCGTCTTCAGCTCGCCGAACAGGCCTCTGGAGTCCGTCGAGCAGGCAGCCGGGAGGCAGCACATGGCGCTCTGCGATGACCGCCAGTCGATATCGTCGCCGAGCATCTCCAGCCACTGGAGCTTCAAACCGTAATTCTCGTCCTCGCCGTCCACGGTAGCCCACCTCTCCGCCGCGGCACTGGACCTCCGAATTTTGTCAGTCTTTCCAGACTTCCACATCGACCTCGTTGCCGCCAAGACCTCCAGGGGCGCCATGGCCATCGCGAGCTCCTTCGTGCTGCCACCGTCCGGCCGGTTGGCCTCGGACGAGACGGCCCGCGCGACGGGCGCGAAGACCTCGGACCCCCAGTGGCTGTGGGCCCACGCGCCCTTGTCCGCCTGCTCGCGGACCCGATCCACGAGCTCGTTGACGCCCCCCATAGGCTTCACGGCTGAGTGGGGCACATCGCAGAGATGCCAGCTCACATCTGCGCTGCGCATGGGCCCCGTCTGCTCGGAGCGCCAGCCGATCGCGACCAGCGCCGCCCGTGCCTGCGTCTTCTCAGCGCCCGTGGAATCCGACTCCCCTCTGGTTCTTTCTCTGTGGGCTGACGTGGATCTCCTCGATGTCCTTGACGTACTTCTCCCAGTCCATCTGTGAGCCCTCGTCCAGGCCCTGGGCGATTTCAACGCCCGTCTGGTAGAACACGCCACGTCCCCACCCCTTCCAATCGATCCGCGCCTCCGGCCGAGACTCGGCCTGGGCCCGCCGCGGGCCGTCAGGGCGCCCTCCGCGCAGGAAGTCGCCCGCGTGAGAACCAGCCGCGCCGATGACGCCCAGGCCCTTCCTTTGGGTAGCGATGGGCAACGATCCCTGCCTTCGCCGGGCCGTCCAAGAGGAGCGCCTCGAGACCCGCCCAGGCGCGCTCCTTGCTGCTGCCGCGATCTCTGCCATGCAGGACCCATGCGCACGGGTCCATCTTCGCGAGGGCCCACCTCTGCTCGGCCATCGCCCCGGAGACGGTCAGGTAGCATTTGATGGCCGCCTCCACCAAGCCGTGCGCGGCCTCCTTGGGCTTCGCGGCTGCGCCCGCAAGGATGCCCACCGCCCTGGCGAGCTCGAGGGCCGGGATGGCCCACGCTTTGCCCCGACGGGTCGGCCTGCCGGGCGAAGGCCCCGGTCGCGCCTCCGCCTTGTAGCCGCGCCGCCAACTGCAAGACGAGGTGGCGCGATGTCTTCGTCATCGTCGGCGCCGTTGTCGGCCCATGCTCGCGCTGCGGGCCCATGATGAAGCCCGACGCCGCGAGTCTCGCCTTTGGCTTGGCGCTGCCGCCCTTCTGGTTAATTTTGAACTCCAGGGCCCACCTCGCGCGCATCACCTGGCTCGGCGGCGGGGCGACATCGGCGGGCAAAGCCTCCAGAACGGAAGACGCGATGTAGCTGTTCACCTAAACCTGCTTGGCACTGGTGAACCGCTCCCGCTCCTGGGCGGTCATGGGGCGCTCTGACGCCTCGCGGCGCCCCTTCTTGATCTGGTTGGCCGTGGAGGAATTCAGCTCCCCGGTCACCGCCTTGAGCCCCCTGAGCTGCTGCGGCAGCTCCACGGACACCTCGATCATAGTCTCCTCCTTGGCCCAGAAGCACGAGGCGTTCGTCGTGGCCTTCTCCGAAATCTCCTGGCGCCCCCCCATCGGTCTGCTTCCTGCGCCGCTCGCCCATCTCCTCGGCCTCTGCGCGAGCGCGGGCCGGCGCGCCGTCCTCGGCCGGCCTCGTCTTGCCGCGGATGCGCCTGCCAGGCGCGCCCTCGGTGACCCTGGCCTTTCTGGCGAGAGGGCGCATCTCTCGCGCGAGGCCTCGCCCTCCTCCTGCTAGGCCGGGTCGACCCCCGCGATGTGCATGCACTGACTGGGGAGAGCACCTCCCGAGGCCTGGGAAGTAATCCAGGGCGCGTTTACTCTGGGGCCTTCCATCATCTGGGCATAGGCCACCTCGCGGGCACTGGCGGCCCACCGCCAGGCGAGGTCTGCCTTCGTGGGCCGGCCCCCCTCGGATGGACCACGCCGCCGAGGGCGGTCGCCAATGGTGGATCATGGACTGCGGGCCAGGCCTGCTGCCGTCGCGCCCTGACGCGCGACGCGCGCGCGCGCCGCCTCAGCGGCGAGGGCCCTCGCCAGCTCCTCGCGGGCGCCGCGAATCTTGCCCTTCTCCTCCCAGCAGTGCCTCGCGAACATGCCAGGGGCGAGGCAGTTGAGCACGTGGTTCTTCGCGTTCGCGGCCCAATTGATCCTCCGCTGGTAGACCTCCTTGAGACGCCCCTGCCCGGCCTGCATCCGGCGGTAGCTCCGGCCGACCTGCTGGCCCACCCGCTGCGCGCCCGCGCCGGGCAGCTCGTCGAAGTCGGGCTCGGAGAAGTGGCCGTCGATGTCCGGGGCGCGGCCCAGCGCGCGCCGGAGCGGCGAATGGCCTCGAACATCTTCGCGGGAAATACCTGCCGCCGCCGCGCGAGCCAGGGGCTCCTCGCTGGACGCGGAGTGGTTCTCGGCCGCCAGCGCGTCCACGGTCGCCTTTATCGCCCTGATCGCCTCCTCCGCGAAGGATCGCTTCCTGGCGGCAGCGCCGCCGCCTCGTGCACCCAGGCCCCCCCCCCGCCCGGGTCGCGCATGAACCGCCGCGGCTTCCCGAAGCAAGGGAACCGCCCCGCCCTGGGCCCCGGCGGGCCACGGAGCCCCCCGCCCGACGCTGCCGCGCGGCCGCCCGCGCGCGGCAGCCCTCATCGATCATCGATGACGATGCCAACCTTCAGCTTCCTCTTGAGGCACGGACGCTGCCGCTCGAACCGGCGAGCCTGGATGCGCTTGCACTTGGCCGGGGCGCTCTCCAGCAACGCTGGCGGGCCCGACGGCTGCTGCTTGAACGACTCGACGCAGGCGTCGCAGGCGAACGTCTCGCATTCCTCGATCACCTTCTTGGGCGCCCCCTGGCGCCGCAGCGCCGCCCCCGTCGCCGTGCGGGATGCGCGGCCGCGCCCTTGGTGCACCGAGGTGAACCATCGGTGGATACTGGCGCCCTCGTCCGCGCACGTCTCGCAGCCTCCGCCATGGGCTAGCCTGGCTTCTCAGAGTCGCACAGGCCGCCGCGCAGGCGGGCACGCCCTCCGCAAACTGCAAGAGGTCCGGACTTGTCCTCCAGCATCGCGCCCGCGGCCCTACGCGCAATCTCGGTCGGGCAGTTGGCGCCGGCGGCGTTGGCGCTGCTACCGCGGGGGCGCGCGCGCGCGGTCGCCGGGGCACTCCGCCTAAAGCGCGCCGCCTCTCTGGGCGAAGTCGTGGCTATCCGCCACTCCTCCTTCGCGATTGCCTCGTCTGGAGTCCTCGCTCCAAGTGCGCAGTCGGCAACCTTTGCCGCAATCATGCCCAGGACATTGACCATCCTCCTGATCGCGTGCGCCCAGCCCTCGCAGCCGCTGGGCCACTCCGAGTGGGCGCGCCCGCCGGCGGAGGCCCGGTCGCGGGCCACCTGCGCGGCGCCCTTGCGCTCGCGGGCGGCTTGCACGCGCCACTTGCGAATCTTCTACGCAAGGACTGGGTCGCCGGAAGTGCCTCTCAGGTCGACGAGGTGATTGGGCTGAGCGGGCCGCGCCTGGGCGACGCCCACAGGCGCTTCGGCTGGTGCTGGCCACTCGTGTCGCGGACTGCCATCGCCCTCGACAGCTCCGAGCTTGCGGCCGTTCCAGCTACTCGCGCGCACAGCTGAGCCCCCGCCGCGCTTCTGCTCCATCTCGCTGCAGGGACGACACGGGGCTGGCCTCGAACTCCTTCTCGCCGCCCTGATCGCGGACGGCGCGCGCGATGTTGCGCTGCTGGTGAGGGCTCAGGCCCCGGAGCTCCACGATGGCCCCCCCGCGTCCGGACCGCTCGATACGTCCATCTCGTCCGCTGGAGTGTCCTGGCAGCTCGTGCCCGCCCCGCTCACGCTGGCCGAACCTGTCTTCACCTTCGTCGTCAACAGGCTGATGGCGCCTCCGATCTCGCGCATCATGCTCTGCGCGTGGCCGATCTTGTCCTCCTCGGAATCCGTCATCATGACGTCCGCGCCCCTCCTTGCGACCCTCGCGGCCTCCCTCGTCGCTGTCGCTTGGGGCGCCTGTGGCTGCGCCGGTGGGGCCTTGGGCCTCGGCCCCGCTGGAGGGGCGCAATTTTCGGTCGCCGCGGCGGCGTTCAGCCGCGAGGCAAACCGCCTGAACTCCCTCGAGCTGTCGGCGTCCGCCGCCTGCTGGACACGCCACCTCGCGTAATTTGGGCGCTGCGACTTCACCTCCCGGTTCGTCTCGGCGCCGCGATTGCCGGACTCCGCGCAGTCGGCCCCGCGCGGCGCTGACTCGCGAATGCTGACGCGCAGAACCCCGCGCGTCACCCCTGGCGTCGTGTGGGCGCCGATCTGGGTCGCGAGGTCCACTGGCTCGTTCTTCTTCATGCTCGCGCCCCCCCACAGCTTCTTGCGGTCGTCGGCGTCGCCCTTCGGAAACATCTCGCCCATGAGCGCGCGGGCGCAATCTCCGCCTTTCCGAGCGCATCCACAGCCGAACTGTTGCGCGGCCACTCCACCACGCTGCGCTGCAACGACGAGAACTGCCCCCGCGATGGCGGCAGCAAAGGCCGCGCTGGCGGCCCGGCCCCGTCGCGGCTGCACGCTGCCATCAGGGGCCCCCGCGCCGCTGGATTGCTGATCGCCTGACTCCTGGCCTTGAGCCAAGATAGCTACGGACGCGCCAGGGCCTCGACCTCGCATCTGGCCTCACCCCCGCAGACGGAGCAGGCGGCGACGGAATCATCCCCCGCGATGACCGATGGAGCGGAGGTGATGCATGACTGAGGACACGAATCGGAAGCCGGCGACTCCGCCGCACGCGCCCCGCAGCCAACGGAGCCCGGAACGCCCCCGCGGCTGGCCAGGGCAGCGGCGACCATGAAAAAGTTCCCGAGACCCCCCTGGTCGGCCACCTCCTCGAGCAGGTCATCCACCAACGACAGGTAGTAGTGGTTGTCGTGCTCATCAAACTGGACTGGGTCCATCGAGATCTTCGCAAAGAAAGAAACGCCGCCGGCGCAGTCCAAGGCGGCGACGAGGCGGGCCACCACCCGCATGCCGATCAAAGTCGAGACGTCCTCGTCGAAGCCTATGATGCGGATGTGCCCTTGAGGTCCCTCTCCTGCCTGCGCCTGGAATCGAACCTCGCCGCGCGCGCGGCCCCGCTCACCGTCGCCGGAGGAGTGGATGGGCTTGCGGTCCAAGGCCACCTCCACGAGCCTGGTCTCGCCATGGCGCTTCATGTTGATCTGGGCGACGGCGTCCAACGCCTTCGCGCCCCCCATGGAGTCGGCACAGCCAAGATCGACAATGCCCATGCCGGACTCCACTGTGGCCTGGGCGGCGGCGGCGATGCCCTTGCTCTCGGCGGCGATCTTCGCCATGTCCATGTCGGTGTCGGCCACCAGCGCCGCGATCATGCCCCCGAGGACCTTCTCGTCCTTCTCGGCCACCTCGCACTGCTGAGCCTCTTGTCGCGCTTGTCTGGGCGCTGGACGGTCTGGCGGTCCTTGGAGCCGCACCTCGTGCATCCGCGAGCTGCCGGATCACGCGGAGGCGGGACCTTGCTGCATTCCGAAATGCCCCGGTATAGGCCTCACCGAGCCCGGCGGGAACGGAAACGTTGACTGCCATGCGAACTCGTCCTCGAGTCCCCCGTCCCACCTGGGCGATCGAATCCACGGTTTGCCGGGACATCGGCTTGGGCATCTCGAGCCTGCCTCAGGGTCCGCTGCGCGTTCATATGGCAGAGAGGCCTCCGCTTCCTCCAGAAACTGTTGCTCCTCATCATGCTCCGTGTAGCCCATCAGCGACATGTGGTCCATCAGGTCATCGCATCAGGTCTTTTCATCGTTGACTACGCTCTGTGCCATGAGGCCATGAGCGCCTTCTTTGCGTTCATGTCCTGGTCGCGGAGGCCATCGTCTTCAAAGTTGGAGATCAGGGCAGTCCTCACAGCCTCGGACTCCAAGGAACCACCTGTCGACGCCATGATCGCGGCTCTCTCCCTTGAGTCCAATCCGGCCCGCGCGAGGACTATCCATCCACGCACCAAGCATGGGAGCACCTCCGGGAGGTCTTCTTACTCGTCGTCGGAAAATGGGTCGTCAACGATCGCCCTCTCGCGGCTGGCGTCGAAGGGCCCGTCGAAACGGTTGGTCTTTTCGTCCCACGCCCACGACCATTCACCGTCTTCCTCTTCAGGTTCGATCCGCCGCAAGTCCCAACGGCGCGGTGCGGGCAACCTCTCCGTCTTTGCCTTCTCCAAGGCCCTGGCCAGGGCCTTGCGTAGGTACTGGTAGCCCACCTCGAACTTGTCCGTCCACTGCTACATGGCTTCGCCTTTGAGTCGCCGTGTCTTGACCAGAAACGTCCTCAGCTCAGCGCCCACGTCGGGGACTGGCATCCGGCTACACTGCTCGAGGTACGCCAGAAGCTTGTGCGCGCAACCCGACTGGCTGAGCCACCCCAGGCGGCATCTCTCGACTGCCGTCTCTGCCCGCCGCCCGGTCAACTGCCCCTCGATCCGCAGGCCGCCCAGGTAGCGGTCTTGCCACTTCGTCGACTCGAAGTAGGACGAAGCCTTCTGGCGGTAGGCCCGCCATGCCTTGGGATCGCTGTTCCAGGATGGATCTAGACCTTTCTTCTCCTCTTTAAACATTGTGAGCTCAATGATATCGTGGAGCCACGCGGCTCCGCTACCATGCCCGTGTTCTCGCGGAGCTCCTCGTCAGAGGTGATAGTCTCTGGGGTCCTTGACTGTACCCACAACGCTTGACTGTCACTGCTCTCCCTTCTCGCAGTTTTATTGCAACATCGGCCACCTCGCGCGGTTCCTCAAAAACGCGCGCCGGCACGGTTTGAGGGAGGCCACTCTCTTAAGCCCAAATGAGAGCGGAAGCACAAGCTTGCTACACACAACGCAGATCGCCAACTGCACCCCAGGGCCCCCCGAGACGCCCGAGAGCGTCCCGAACCTGCTCAATCCTCTAGCCTCCCACCTCCGCGATCCTCGATCCACAGATGCTCGAAGGCATCAAAATCTTGCTCAATCCTCAAATTGTCTTCCCTCCTCCTCGATCCTCGATCCCCAAGAGGAGGCTGAGAGATCCCCCCTGGGGGCGGCCCCCCTCGGCACGGGCGCGCGGAGCGCGCCTGAGCGGCGCTGGGGGCGCCGCAAAGGGAGGTGCAGCGCAGATCCAAAACAGCCGCGAGGACCGTCGAATGTTTTGAGCAGGGCCTACCTTCCTGGCATTCCTAGAAGCCTACCACGACATGTTCTTCGAACCCCAAAATGTTCTAATTACACTAGAGAAAAAATCAGTCGATGGTTTTCGCTGAGGAGATCAACCGGGAACCCGGGAACCCAAAACCCACCGAAATCGGTCCGCAACCAGTAACCGGGAACCCGGGAACCGGGAACCAGGAACCGGGGAACCCAGCCTGCTACCAAAATCGGCGGGAAACTTTCCCCAAATCTTTCAACTTCCACTAGGACCCCTCAGTGCAAGCACTGATTGGGGAAGAACAACAACCATGTTTTTAGAACATCGGCACGATGTGCTCAACCAAGACAGTCCTAGCCAGAAACGTTCTGAGAACAGCTCGCTGAAACCACACAAGTTTCTTAGAACATCCTTTGGTGGGCCTACAGGCGAGCCAGGACGCTTCGCCACTGCGTGAAAGCTGACGCTTGTGCCGCATGATGCCGAAAGTGCTCTTCCTCGATGCCCGGCTCTGCTCCTCCTC